ACTAATAATACTAATAATACTACTGCTGTACTGCAATAAAAGACTGGACTCAACACTCATTTCTCTCGTCATCAGTCTCATCTCTGTGCATCCAGTACAGAGATAGGTCAAGGACATGTTTAGCCTAGCTTAGCACAAACACTGGAGACAGGGGGAAACTGATAGCCTAGCTTAGCACAAATACTGGAGACAGGGGGCAGCCAGTATTTTACTAAGAAACAAACAGCTGGTAAATCCAACATTTTGAGCTTTTCATGTTACAGTAGGTTACAACGCAGATACAGTACCTAGATACAGGGATACAGTCTACACACAAAGATCCAGACACAATAATCCAATATAGATACGAGGATGCATTCTAGATTAGAGATATTAAAAAGGAACTAGAGACAGAGATACAACCCAGATACAAGTATCTAGGATCAAGGGTATGATCTACAGGGACCTAGACTCAAGAATCCGATCTAGATAGATGATCTACAGTAAATACAAGGGTAATCTATTCTTTCTATTTACATAGATTCAAATACAAAGATACAATCTTGATACCAGCATCCAGATACAAGACTATGATCCAGATTCATATATCTAGACACAAGAATCTGATTCAAATACAAGGGTAAGACCTATTTACAAGGAACTAGACACAGAGATGAGATCTAGTTAAGATCCAGATAAGGATCTAGATACAAGGTGACAATGAAGATGCAGGGATACGAAGAGTCCAGGTACAATGATGTGGTCCAGATATCTAGATCCAAGGATATGAGATCATGCTCTAGATTCAGTGGTCTGGACACAAGGACCTAGGTGCAAGAATGAGATCTACATTCAAGAATCTCCATACAAGGATACAATCTCTGTACAACTATTTTAAAGTTTGATTAAAGGAACATCAGTAATGTGTTTCTGTTCACACTCATTATAATCCGTTTAAACTATAAGGCTCCTGCCAGATGTCGACCTCATTTCACATCCCACAGATTCCTGTTAGTACCAATTGTTTGCCCTCAATGCAGCTGTGGGGTTGATGTGGTCGCCTCCTAAAGTTCAGTAACAGAATAATAAGTCGTGACAGGCGTCTGTTGGCGGAGAAAGTGGAGCTGACGGGAGTGAAATGTGCCTCAGTGAACCCAGCAGGCAGGACGAGGTTATCAATAAAACATCATCCACAGTTTTATTATTAGACCGGCTCAGAGACAGAATCGTGATGGAGGGATGAGAGCAACAAAACAACACTTCTGATTGAGTCTCCGCCAGGATTATTAAAGAATGACTCCCACTCTTAATGAATACTGTTCATGTCTCATACCAACATAATCTATTGATTACATTTATCAGTTTACAGGTCGACTGATAGTCACTGCACAGAGACATGTTTCAGCTTCATAGCTCACTTGTAGTTCAGTTCATTTGGTCTGAAGTGTTGGAAACTGTTTGCAAGTGATCGGATGAACAAACTGTCTATTACGGGTGAAAGGATCAGATCAATAAACTCTTTGGAAACATCTTTCATAGAGACTTTAGGGCGTAGACTTCCTCAACAGGAAACGCAGCGTTGTGTTTGGCTCTGTGCGTTTTCCAATCTCACCGAGAGCGTTTCAGACGTTGTTTATTTTTTGTGTATTTGTCGATGGAATTTGGGCGTTACAGCGTTAAAGGTGAAAATATTCGGTCTCTACGCTGTTGCTGCCTTTCTGTTGCCGACCTCGTCCTCTCCCGTCTCTGCTGCGTCCTCCTCTTCCTGCAACTTTCTCTTAAATTAAGAAAATAATTCATCGAAATGTGTTTTTGGAAACATTTTTGGTGAGAAATCTTCTTTATAGATCGTCAGCAGTTGGTTTAAACGTTTTAGGGCCAGCGTCCGGCTGGGCGAGTCTGTGTCTGGATGCCCTAAAACACTGATTAGCAAAAAGTAGCATTGCCCTGTACGATATGCACCGATGTGCTAACCACAGTTAGAACAACACTACAGGAGAACAGTTAGTTAGCTATGTGGTCGCTACGTTTCACTCTTTAGTAAAACAGTAATAAGAAACATGGAGGACAATCCCAGTTTAGCTTAGCTACAGTTAGCTAGCCTGATGGCTCACATCGCTCTTGGCTAGTAGAAAGCTATCGTTAGCTTTGTGCCGCTACATCACTTATTGTTGGCTAAAATCAACACTGTCAGAATACATAAATTAGTATCAGCTAATGTTAACCAACTAATATGTACTAGTGATAATGTTAGCAAGCAACCAAGCTAACGTTATCCAGCTAACAGCACAATCAGACAATATGTTCCACTAGCTTAGCATTAATGTTAG